GAGCAGGAATGCTTGTTGCCTCTTGGGACTGCCAGTTGCTTTTTTAATATCTCCCAATTAATCTCGTGTGTCTCGTGCCAGCAACAGGCATTTGTTTGGCTTTTGTTTTCTCTTTATGATAGGTTTGATTTCTTCGTTGTTGGAATATCTTTATAGAGCCTTAAAAATAAATAAATAGCTTTGTTTCCCTGTAAACTAAAAGCAAAGCCTGCATGGCTGGCTTCCTCCTTGCTCTCTGACTGGAAGAAGAGAGCTGTTTACCTGTGGCCTCAAACTTATTTATGGCCTTATCACTGCCAGCTATCAGATGACCACAGCTCCCTTTTTAACATGAAGCAAGCAGTGTCCTGGTAACCCAACAAGGTCTCGCCTGCTGTTCTTTTCTGATTTACTCAGAGCAACTTCCCAGTTGATTCCTCTCTTTTTCTTTTTCATTGTAGATCTGTTCTTAATTATTTTTTAATAAATTTCTTAAAGTATGTGTTTCTTGTGGACCTTTGAACTTCCTGGTGTTCTCAGCCTTTGCTCAGCAGATATGTTTATGGTTGGTTATGAGAATGCTTACATGGGTTTAACCCTTTGGAGTCAGTGTTCTCAGGAAACCATTGGTTGCAGTTTCCCTTTATAGCTGATGCTCAGACACACAAATCGGCTTTGGCTAACACAGGCTTTACCTGAACTAGTCACTTGTTTCAAAGTTTAACTTTTACATCATTAGATAAAACTGTGGATCAAATTCGGTCTATAAAGCCTGACTAGAAACATGGGATCAGAAACAGCTCCAAAAATTGTAAACCACTGTGCTGGGGCCACCAGCTCTGCTTCCCAGTGCTAGCCAGGGAAAGCTACTGGTGCCTGTGATAGCTCAGGGCCTGTGTTATGGTAGGAACTGGCAATATCTTCAGGATGTGTGGCCTTTTGATAAGACTTCTCAGTAGCAGGCTTCTCCTTTTACATAGATCAATCTCTGTAAGCTGCATGGGATAATTATCCCTTAAAGTCAGCACAGCAGGAACACCTTATGGGTGTATTAACTTTTCTGTTTGCTTACCAGAAACTTATCCATTTGGTTTTTCTTGATGTATGCATACATCTTCTGCAGTTGATCTGCTTCCAGCTCTGAGAAGAGGGAGACAAACTGCCATAACTTCCTTGGGAAAAGAAGGACATGGATTGTGTGAGTACAAACTTCATCCTCTTCCTCATCTGCTCCCTAGGTCTGGCTTGGCAAGTGTAGCCTCTGACATACCCTTTGCACAGAGTTTTTTCCTTTTTTATTTCCTTCTCCCCCCTCCCCCCAGCATATAAACTTTCAAAGAACTGCTTCCCTGAGCATGGCAAGGGTTACCTATTAACTCAGGTGGCTACATAGGAGCCCCTTTACTTGCAAAGAGATGTTGCTGATGGGCAGCACATTAAAATTGGCCTTGTGCTGGGCAGGACTAGGTACCACATGGCCTCTGCTAAAATTACCTGCCGGATCTGTGAGTATTTGGCAGTTGGAGCAGCTATACAAGCCTCCTGTAGATACCCAACCTGATTTCCAGTGCCTGGAACTGCGTGGCCAAAGTTAAGTGTCTAGATGCCCGCAGGGAGCAGCAGGGGCAGGAGCCTGTCATGCTGGGAGCATCGCCAGTGTGGTGCCACCGTGCCAGGTAAGAGGGGACCCTTACTTCTGCCAGTGCATGACTTCTGAGGCTCTGCAGAACTCGTGGAGAAACAGATCGACGCGGTTCCCAATTACAGTCAAACTTTTCTTTACACACTTCAGTTTTTTCCTCATGAGGAGGTGTTGGGACAAATTCAGTTTGCGAAGCGATGACTTAAAGGGTCTCAAAAACTCCTTGCACTGCAAAAGAAAATACATATAAATTGTTGGCATAGGTGTTCAGCACTTCAAATCCAGGTGTCAGGCATTCCTTTCCACTAAATAAACTGATTAAATAGCTGGGCAGGAAGCCCTGACGGAGTGTCAGTTTTGATAAGTGTCTCCTGTACAGACACAGGGGACCTGATGTGGG